GGCGCTCAGTGCCACCTGCGCGCGGCCGCGCACCTCGGCCTCTCCGCCCCGGGACCCGCCAAGCTGGGATCATCCGTGAAGGGCCGGAAACACAGAAGGGACGAGACCCCGGAGCCGGCTTCACAGACCCCTCCCCGCTGCCCTTCTGGCTCCCCGCGTTTCTGAAAGCTGGCCACGCCGACCCCACTTCCAAAAACTTGGCAGCCACCGGAGACCCGGCTCGGAGGAGGCGAGGGCTGGACAGGTTCCCCATTGCGCGGGGCGAGGCTGAGGGCAGGTTGGAGGCGTGTCCAGCACATCGGAGGCTTGACTCTGGGAGCTCTCGCCGCCACCACAGGTGAGATGGGGTGGGGTGGGGGGCACTGGGCAGAGAGCGGAGGGCGGGCGCCCCCAGAGCGGAGCCGGGGAGGAGAGCGCGCGCTCTCCAAATTGTCTTTCCTAACTGTTTTCAGTGAGGATTTTATTGACTCAGAATCTGTCGGGAATTAGAGCGAACCACTTTTCCCTTGAGATAGGCCTTGTTCATCTTGGCAGTGGAGTGAAGTTGAGTTGCGAGGGGGAAGGGGGAGGAGAGAATGGCTGCATCCACTTATAAATATTAATGCACGTGGAGCGGTGCCGCCGGCAGGACGCGTCGGGAGCCGAGAGAGTTGGGGAGCCGCAGTTGGCAAGTGGCTACAGTTCACAAAGTAGGATCGAGCCGTCCTCCGTCTCCTCTACATACTGTTTCTGGGGCGCGGATCGGAGCCCTGGCTGGTGGTGACTGCATCTCACAGCTCCTGTGTCTCTCCCCTCCCCAGACCCAGCCTCGCACTTCCAGGCGGCGCCGTGCCGGCCACCACCATGTCCGCCCCTGCGGCCAATGCCTCCGCCTCTGCCTCCGCGGGCCCCAACAGCCCGGTGACCATCCCGGCGGTGATGTTCATCTTCGGGGTGGTGGGCAACCTGGTGGCCATCGTGGTGCTGTGCAAATCGCGCAAGGAGCAGAAGGAGACGACCTTCTACACGCTGGTGTGCGGGCTGGCCGTCACCGACCTGCTGGGCACGCTGCTGGTGAGCCCGGTGACCATCGCCACGTACATGAAGGGCGAGTGGCCCGGCGGCCCGGCGCTGTGCGAGTACAGCACCTTCATCCTGCTCTTCTTCGGCCTGTCGGGCCTCAGCATCATCTGCGCCATGAGCATCGAGCGCTACCTGGCCATCAACCACGCCTATTTCTACAGCCACTACGTGGACAAGCGGCTGGCGGGCCTCACGCTCTTCGCCGTCTATGCGTCCAACGTGCTGTTCTGCGCGCTGCCCAACATGGGCCTGGGCAGCTCGCGGCTGCAATACCCGGACACCTGGTGCTTCATCGACTGGACCACCAACGTGACGGCGCACGCCGCCTTCTCCTACATGTACGCGGGCTTCAGCTCCTTCCTCATCCTCGCCACCGTGCTCTGCAACGTGCTGGTGTGCGGCGCGCTGCTCCGCATGCACCGCCAGTTCATGCGCCGCACCTCGCTGGGCACCGAGGCGCACCACGCGG